GAAGTCCTCTGTCCCCCTTAGCTACAGTTTTTGCCAGTCATAGAGTTCCAAAGGACCTCCCTTCCTTCCCCACCTCCAAGTGCTGCTTCCTTCTGCAAAGCAATGCTTCCAGAGATCAGAAGCCCCATGAGGACATGAGCACTGCTTGTGTCGTTCACTGCTTTATTCCCGGCACCCAGCACTGTGCCTAGCACATAGCTGGCACTCAATAAATATTCAATCAGTGAGAGAACTTCCTGAAGCCACTAGGCAGACAACCAGACACTTACCCACGTACTGGATCTTACAACTAGAAAATTTGAGGCTGATCTCCACACAGATAAATATTATTTCCGTTTTATAAATGTACAGCTGAGTTGGTTCAGATAATCCAAGATCAGAGCTATTTCACCTCAAATAGTCTTTCCCTTCCTCAGAAATATTTTTAAGCCAAAAATAAATTTAAAAAAAATAGGAGCTATGGAAAAATCTAGCATAGAAAGAGAATATTACCCATGTCATTTCACATTTCCCGAAGATATGATGAATTTAATTGATGTAGAACAGCCTTCCTGGATAAACCCAACAATAAATATTTTGGTTTCCTGAAAACAAAACAAAAAGCAAGCAAAACAAAAAACTCTTCTTGGCCCAAATTATGGCAACTCTTCGCTGGCAGCTAAGCCTTGGCTTTTCTGCATATGTGCTGTTAGAACAGGCTGGCAGACTGCATGTGCTCTGCACAGCGACCATGGACACTTAACATTCATTAAATAATAATGAAACAGGAGGCCTGGATTTTTTTGTTTGTTTCTCCTGGGTCTGTTCCTCACTTAAGTGACCTTGGACAAATCTATTCCCTCCCTCATATCTGATTTCCATATATCCGTTTTATGACTAAGTTGCTTTCTAAGATCTTCAGATTACAAATAATAGTGCCCTTCTTCTATGAAATGTATCTCCTGCACTATCCTATGGGATGGCTGTATGACACTTGCACTGAAAACCTTCACACACTGTTGTCAATATCATCTGGGGATGGTTCAGATATTCTACGCCAATGAACTGATAAGGTGAATAACTTAAGTCTGTTCCTGATGCTGAGAACTGGAAAATGGGTAAACGTTTAACAATCCCCACACCGTTTATTTCTGCCGTTTTCCGCCGCATTTAAACTATGTAGAAGCTGCTGACATTTGATTACCCTAATGTGGCAAGTCTACCGAACACGGACATAGTTAAAAGGTCCAACTGGCTGTTAGGACAAGCTGCCGGGACTGGTAGTCGGGCCCTGGTGCAGTTAGCTGCGTATTCCATACATTATTTTAGAGGCTCACAAAATACAGCCATCTTGCATCAGACATCCGGCCAAGGAAGAAGGTGAACCCCGTCCCCTCAGCCTTGGAAACGCCACCTGCGAGGAGCTAGGCGTCCCTGGTGGCAGAGCCCGTGCGGACTGGCCGCTGCACGGCCTGCAGGTCACCGCCAGCGGCCCGCCTCGGCCGGGCCCGGTGTCTGAGCTGATAAAGTTGTCTGCGGGAGGACCGGCCGCACCTGGCCCGGAGCAAAAGCGGGCAGAGGGCCGTCCGCCCCGCCAGCTGCTAGCGCAGCCCGATCCGAAAGTGGACGCGGGACGCCTGGCTTCTATCTGCAAGCTTCCTGTTGGGGAGTGTTTTCAACTGGGGCGCGGCGACCCGGCCGGCTGCGTCCTCCTCCCTGTCCCCCCGCGGTCCAGGGCGCCTCGGGGGCGCGCGTCAGGGTCCGCGCAGGAGCGGGAGACGGAGACGGAGTGGGGGCGCCCCCTCCCCTGCTTCTCCGCCGCGGCTCCAGACGCCCGCAAGCCAGGCGTTCACCCGCCGCGCCGCCTCCCGCCCGCGCCTCCTCCCCACTTCCCCCTTGGCGCCCCAAACCCCGGCTTGGAGAGTTCGATGACGTGTGCTCACGGAGCCGAGTGGGAGTGCGGGGCCCCGGAGCCGGAGTTAAAACGGGGGCGACCGGCAGTCTCGGCAGGAGCCAGCGGCCCCTCGGCATGTCTTTTGTGTTTGTACACACACAGCGCGAGGCTGCTGGGAGGAGGAAGCGGGCGGTACGCGGGGGAGGGGCGAGCGCGCGCCAGCGAACTGGAGCGCGGGGGGCGGAGCCGAGCCTTCCCTCCATTGTGTGTGATTGGTTGGCGAGCGGCGCGGGGGCGGGGCGGCGTGTGTTGGGGGATAGCCTCGGTGTCAGCCATCTTTCAATTGTGTTCGCAGCCGCCGCCGCGCCGCCGTCGCTCTCTAACGCCAGCGCCGCCTCTAGCTCGCCGAGCTCCAGCCGTAGGAGAAGGGGGGTAAGTTTCCCCGCCTGCCCGCTTCCCCGGAACGGAGCCCCGCTTGCCGTCAGCCCCGAGCTGGGCCCCGGCGGTGTGGGGAGGGGACCCCCAGCCCCTCTGGCTTGGCCCACAAACTTTTTGGCCCAGAAATAGAGGTGAGGAGCGAGTTTCCCTCTCCCCTCAGGCGGTGGCGGCTCCCCTGTCTCTCGCCGCCTCAGCCCAACAGCAGCAACCGCCGCGGCGCCGAGCCTGTTTTCCCTCCTCCCCGCGCCCCTGGCTCCTCTTTCTTCGGTGAAATCCCGCCCGCCGCCCCTTTCTGGGACCCCAGACCTTCACCAGGACCCGCGCGGGCCTCTTAACTACCGCCCCCGGGCCCCGGGCCCCAGTTTTCAGGCGGGAAAAGGGTGGAAATCGCCGCTGCTTCCCACCCTGGGGTAACTCGCTTTTTGCTGCCTCCCCACAGTTGTTGCTAAGCTTCACCATCTTGTCTCTCTTCTCTGGTCACCGACCATATTTTTTCCCCCGTTTCTCTCTTCCCCATTTCAGAAAAGGAGGAAAAAATTTTAAAGAGGGACATTTTTTTCTCCTTTTTTGGAGAAGCGGAAACTTGATGCATCTGAAATGCAAAAAAAAACTTTTGCATTTTGGAGGGCGGCACGTGGCAGGGGATGGGGTATTTTCGAGCGTTTTGGTGTTTTGTCTCTTCGGAAGGGAATCGGATACGTTTTGCGATTGTTTCCATTTTGTTCTGGTCTGGAAGCCGAGTTTGTGCCTGCGCGAGACGCTGGGAGCGAGGCGGGAGGCTGGGGGACCCTAAGCGGAGGGGCCGGAGGAGGCGAAACCAAAAGTTTATGTGGTGCTTTGGGTGGACCGGTCGGCCGGTGCGTTAATTAAAGCCTGGGTGCGGGGCACTTTTTTTATTTCATTGCGAAGGCTGGTTAGACTGCCGTGAGGACAGTGCTTTGTAGAATGCTCGCTGGTGGTAGCTGTTGTTCCTCTCTTGTTTTTCGAGATGCCTTTTTTCCAACATAACTGTAGAGATGCAAAAGCAGGAATATTTTCAGATATTTACAGCAATCTATCAACTACCAGACGCGGTGGAGGGGGGGTTGCCGTGGGGGGGGGTGTGCTAAAACCTTTTTGCTGTAATTTGACTCGACCTTTCTGTGGCTTGTGGCTTCGTTCTTTTAACTTGTTTTATGGATCGAATGTTGACGGACATTTCTAATTTTTGCTTTATTTAAAGAAATTGAAGCAAAGGCTGTCAGGGTTTTTTTGGGGTTTTTTTTGCCGTTTTGTTTCTCCGATTTGGCCTTTTGAGAGATGATTGGTGTTTAATGCTAACAATTTTCTAGTACTACAGTTTGTTTCAAGAAATCATGTTTGGGTGGTAAACGTAATCGGCACTCTTTCAAATTATATAACATTACGGACATTTTTTTTTATACTGATCATATTTCCAGCTTTTGGGGGGGNCCCTTTAGTGAGTAGTCACATAGGACAGAAACATCCTCCCATCCCGTGCCGGTTTGGAAAAATCCATCCATATACTCGGTGCCCAGACCTCCTTGTTGCAATCATATTTCTTCCACATCCCCTGCCAATTAATCTGTGTAGATCCATACTTCCGGCCATCTCTCAGTCCAGACAAAGTGAACGAACGTGCCTCTAGAAGTTCTGCCCAGTGGAAAGGTTTTCTTTCACCATTGTCCTTCAGGACCACGCTCGAGTGGGGCTGTAGGGCAACAGCTGTCCACTTACTGTTAGCGCCAGAATATCACGCAGAACCATCTGTAAACCAGACCTGAATTTTTTCCTTCTTAATCAACTGACCACAAGGAACTTCCTATGAAGTCCTCGGAGTAAGGGAAACGAGGCACTGAAGCAAGAGCTGCTGTTGAAGGCCCCTGAGCCACCTGCTCACACAGACTTTCCTGTGCCTTCTGAACCCACTCCAGCCCGGTCTCACATATGCCATTCCACATGTTAAGCCAGTGTCGGATTTCTGTCTAAAAAGCCATTGCCAGGGCCATCCGGGTGGCTCAGTTGGTTAGAGCGCGAGCTCTGAGCAACAGGGTTGCTGGTTCGATTCCCACATGGGCCAGTGAGCTACAACCAAGCTGAGCTGCCGATGAGCTGCTGACCAGCGCAGAATGGCTCAGCTGGTGAGAGTGGGTACTCTTAACAACAAGGTTGCAGGTTCGACTCTCGCATGAGATGGTGGGCTGCGCCCCCCGCAACTAGATTGAAAGCGGTGACTGGACTTGGAACTGAGCTTGCACTGTCCACAACTAAGATTGAAGGACAACAACTTGACTTGGAGCTGATAGGTCCTGGAAAAACACAATGTTCCCCTTCTCCAAGTCCCCAACACTGTTCCCTTCCCCAATTCCCCAAAAAATCTAAAAAAAAATAAAAGAAATCATTGCCGGACCCAAGGTCACCTAGAATTTTCTCCTATGTTATCTCTTAGTCATTTTATAATTTTACATTTAGG